ACGGTTCCTCAGGCCTTACCCACCAACAGTGTAGTGCTTCCTCAGCATTATTCTCCTTTCAGTCTCAGATTTATTTGGGACAAAATCTGGCCGGATAATAAATCTATTAATGGCACAATTCCGTTCTCCATCTCTCCTTGTCTTTCCATCTCCCCTTCCCCGTCTCTTGCAATTTCCCTCACTCTCTGCTCCTCTCTCCTACATGAGACCTTCAGGAAGTCGTCACAGTTTTCCAATCCCCTTCCCGTGTGCATTCTACGATTGGATGGGATTGAAAGTCCGATTCCTGTTCCTCTGCCAAGAGAATAGTTTGTTCACTTTGAAATCAATAAAGTGTCCAAGCCTCAACTCAGCTACTGGGCCTTAAACTTTGACTTGGAAGACAAATTGTGGTGCAATGGAAATCTTTATTTATTCAAGCAAAACCATCTTAATATTCCACAAAGTCATTAATTCCGTGCTAGGTGTAATCAAGAGTGTATCTGCTGAGCTGAGACACTGTGGGTCAATGAATTAACAAACTGCTTCTCTCTCATTTTCTGTAACTTATCGCTTGACAATGAAGTCAGGAGTTTGAGGATCTTCACGAGTCAACACCAGATTAGAAACAAAGGTTTTCCTGTCATTGATCTCCAGAACTTTAAGTTTTTTTTTCTCCTGCCATTGCTCAGCAGTGATTAATGTTCTTTTGCATCAACCTGTGTACGTTTCCAGGAGGCCGCTCAAAGGCCATTTCAATTGTGATGGGTTTCCCACCTGTTTCCCTCTCGTACATGAGACGTGGCCCGTTGTGCGGGTCATATGGTAGGCATATTGTCTTTCTCTGATCCTGGGGACAGGGTCCCAGGCTGGGTCAGTGCCTTGAGAGGGGACAATGAGCAGGCCAGAGAGAAGCAAGGATCAAGGCAGCCATTGTTCTGGATAGGCCCGAGATACCGAGGGAGGGAGGGAGAGGGAGAGAGACAGAGAGACACAGAGTGAAACACAGAGAGAGAGAGAGAGACAGAGACGGTGGGGAGGGGGGGACGGGGGTGGGGGGTAGAGAGAGACAGAGAGACAGAGGAGAGAGAGGGACAGAGAGACGGGGTTGGGGG